CACATTGGTGAACAGCAGCTTAATTATAGAACTTCTTTATCTCGCTGCAAGGCAATGCCTCTGAGAGTTTCCCCAGTAACCTCTACTGGTGCATTTGTCATCATATTTAATATGGGGCGAGAAAGGCAAAGCTGGGATTCAGCCAAATGCACGGCGAATACAGTCAGTGAGTTTCATGTCGCAGTCAGAGGTGTTTGACTAGGTCAGTTACCTACAGTAAATTAACAAAGGCAGGAGTGAGTTTCCAAGTCTCTTTCCACAGCTGTCATTACCTGGCTGAGCATCGAAACCTTGAAATAATGAGGATGTAAACTGATGTAGCTCACATAAAAAAAGCCCATTATATAAATCTGCATAACATAATAGAATGCACCATTTTGTCTAAAATATAGATAATTATTCAAATCACTCCTGGCTATTTCCTTGAGTGGGCTGATTGCTCCTGCCTCTTCTTGGCCAGAGACACATTGACTACCACCAGACATGACATTGCATGTGATAAATTGGTGGTCCATGGTGATAAGAAAAAGACAGTGCTTCCAGAGTTTCCAGACTACATGGTTTTCTCTTTCTCTGCGCTTCAGTGCTGGCCCTGATGGACAGCGCTGGGCAGGCAGCTCGGAACACATGCCATAAGACTCGGAAACAGGCTGCATTTATTTTTCAGAAAGGACAGGCAGGCATTTGCTTTATTTAGTTGTACTAATTTTCTTGTCCAGTTACACAATCAGTATAGGGAGCTTATGATGACGCTGTCTTCTCCCAGGGTTTGTCTTGAGGTTGGAGCTCTCAGCCAGAGTGGAATTTGAATAGAGTGAGGTCCAGTTGGTGCAGAAAGGATGCTTTCCTTCAAGGCATTTGGGGCTGGAAGCTCTCCATGGGAGGTTTGTTAAATTGCTGTGGACATTTCTCCATGTCCTGAGATGAGGAAGTTAAGAGTGGATTCTCACTGCAGTCTTTATTGGAACTGCTTCATTTGTCCTTAATTTCAGGCAGAAAAAATATATATATTGAATTTAGCAAACTGCTCATTCAAGCACGTTCCTTCAGAAATGCTGACCTTAAGGCAGTTCAGCCATCTCCACACCCATGTCCTGAGCTAGTCTTTATCCTAGATGCTTTGATGTTACCTGGTCAACTCCTTACAACTCTGTGTATTCTGGTAGATGAATGCCTCTCCCCTGGTGGTGGTGTTGTTAGCTGACATCGAGTTGACCCCCAACTCATAGCAACCTCGTGCACAATGGAACGAAATGCTGTCTGGTCCTGTGCCCTTCCCATGATGGATCATGGATTGTTGTTTTCATTCACTGATTTTTGGAAGTAGACCACCAGGCCTTTCTTCTTAGTGCATCTTAGTCTGAAAGCTCTGTGAAACTGTTCAGGCTCATAGCAACATGCAAGCCTCTACTGAGGGATGGATGGTGGCTGTGCTTGAGGGGCATTGGCCAGGAAATGAACCTGGATCTGCCGCGTGGAAGGCAAGATGTCTATTACTGAACCACCACTGCCCCTTGCCTTTGCCCTACCACTTTTTAAAGCCCTCCCAGAACCTGTTCTCCCGTGAACTTCATCAGTGAAGGCATCCATCTCAAAAACCCCTTGCTCACATTTTTTCTTCAGAGGAATTTTTGTTGATTGGTCTTCTACTGAAACTCTCCTTGTGTTTCCTTGGCATTAGGTAGAGAGGGTTCTTTTAGCTTTGTCCCCACTCCCAACTTCTGCCTTCCTGTGGCCTGTTAGCCAGGAAGTTCTCCATTTTCCTTCTCCAGACCCCACCAAAACTAGGGGCACCTCCTAAACAACTGACCTGGCCCAGTGCTCCATGGACTCTGAGGGGAGAGACCAGGCCCTTCCCTGCTAACTAAGAATCCAGAGTGGACACAGCTATTGCCAAGACACTCACCTCCCTATTCAAATCAGTTCACTCTTAAATTGTATTTCTTTTCACTGCCAAAGGATTCCTTAAAGCCCTGAACAGAAAGTAGAAAGGAGGAAAAAGCAACAGTATGCAACTGACCAGTTGTTCCAGTGATTCCCAGGACCCCCTGGCTACCAGTTTTCCTTTCATGGAAACAAAAGACAGCTCTGCCAGCAAGGGTACCAAGCCTGACAGGCTTCTCTGAGCTTTGCTGTCTGCTCAACCACTTTAACAGGAAAGGTGGGGACAGGGGTAGAAGGGAAAGCTTTGTTAGTACACCCAAACAATATCTAAAATTCTCTCTCAAGGTATTCCAGCTTCCAGGCTGTCTGGTACCAGTCTTGTGCCTTCATAGATTTTGAAATGAAAATGGCCTAGGGATAAAGATATTTACCAAAACTGACTATGGTCAGTTCAAAGGAAGCAGGCTGCATCAATGGCTTATCCAGAGCTCACAGCATCCATGAGAAGGCTGGAGATGCAGACTGTGATGGGCAGGGGTCAGGTCTTGTCCAGAGGCCTAGGAGGTAGGGGCTAGGAGAATGGTCTTGGGGCAGAAAGTTTGGTGAAGCACTACCACGGCAATGGAGGAAACATCATCCATTTTCTGCTTCTTTTTCTCCTTGTTCAGGATTCAGATTAATTTCTATTGGCCTCACTTGGGTCACTCTCCTGCTTCTTGGCTACAGGTGGGCAGGCACTGGCCAAAATGTTATACAGCGAGGAAGAAGTAATTCTCCAAAAGCAAATAAGTCATAGTCTTATGAAGAAGGGAGAATTGAAGCTCAGTGGCCCCAAAACATCTAATGCCCAATATGGCAACTGGAAAATACTATTAAAATAGTTTCACATGCAAAAATAAAAACTACACAAACAAATAAAATACACAGAAAGGGGCAAGGTTGCGTAGGGATGGCTCAACCATGATGTCAGGTGATTATGAAGAGAACTTGAGTTCTGTTTGTTATGTATTTTACAAACTTTGGAAAGAGTCAGTGAAAGGCACTGGAAGCATGGTCTCTGCTTGGGCAAAGTAGAGGCCTGGTACTCTTCAGCTGCTTTCCCTAATTTTACCCATGATACTTGCCGTGCAGAAATGCCTCCAACTCAGAGATGGTCTCTGCGCATCAGTGAGCAGAGCTCAGCTTGTCTGGTGCCTCAGATCACAGGAATCTTGATTCTTCCAATGGGCTATACCAACGATTTCTGATGTAATTTCCACTCATGATGTCAAGCTAGGCCCCACCCTCTCCTCCATCCTCCAGCCAGTTGGCTCTCCCATTCTCAGATTTCCTCCTGACCTGGAATGAGTTCTCCATTGTTTTATGGGATTTGTCGTTTTCTTGTGTTGGGGAAAGTTCTGGAAAAGACAACAGGTTTCCCAGCAGAAGCCGGGCTCTGTGTGCCAGTCGTGAAGTCACTGAAGGTATGGAGGGCACTGTTCCTGCTCTCTCTGTGCCGGGGGTGGTGGGAGCAAGGAGTGAACTGCAGAGAAGTGCTGGGGTGAGTCTTTGCAGGGGTTAACCCTGTGTCTGGTGCACTCAGGTGAGGGGGTACTCACGCCAGTCATCCAGGGGAGCCACCTCCTGGGTGAAACCCTAGCCCCTCAGCCCCACAGCAGCTCGAAGTGGTCACTGGAACAACCCTTAGATGCGTGGTTGCTTTCATTTTCTTTGAAAGCACTTTCAGGGCTATTGAATTTCTTGCGTTTCTAGCAACCCCACAGGTAGGCAAGAAACAAGCTGCAGTCTTATAGAGTGGACGTTAATATTCGACCACCTGTGGGTGTGTCTCAGTGCTGATCTTGACATCAGGGAAGGGCAGGCAGTGAACATCACCAACAAGGAACCAGTGTGGACCCTCTGCTGGGCACCTGACCCTGTGTGCCACCACATGAGGGACGGCCGAGGAAGCAGACCCCATTGTCCTTGTCCTCAGGGGCTTTCAAGCAGCGTGACCTCTTTAATGTATTCTGACCTAGTAGGCAAATCCCCAAGCATGGAAAGGAGTGACAATTTGTTGTGTTTTATTTTCTTTCTTAAGCAAATACATTAATGAACAAACAAAACATTTGTCTGTGATGTCATTTACCATGTGGAGAAAGTGTCACATGTGAGAATGCTTCGTTTAGGCTGCCTGAAGGAAATCAGCTGACTCCTGAAACACCCTTTCCTCACTGTCCCCACCCCCTACCCCCATCCAGAAACCCAGGCCCCATTGATCTTCCAGAAAGGAATATGGTCCCCCTTCTGCCACTCCCTGCGTCTCTGGAGATATTGAATAGGGAGAGCATGGGCCTCAGGAGCAGGCAGAACTTAACCCCTTCTCCAGGTTCCAGTGCTGGCTCTGACACTCCCCCACGCTGTGACTCTGGGGATGTCATTTCACCTTCCGGAACCTGAGCCTCCTTTTGTGTAAGGTGAGGGTAATCAAAGCAAGAGTTTTCAGAGTTGTGAACCTTAAGTGGCAAAATAACCAAAACCAGTTGCTGTCGATTCAACTGTGACTCATGGAGACCCCGTGTGTGTCAGAGTAGAACTCTGCTCCAAAGGGTTTTCAGTGGCTGATTTTTCAGAAGTAGATTGCCGGACCTTTCTTTTGAGGCACCTCTGGGTGGACTTGAACCTCTAACCTTTTGGTTAGCAGCCAGGCTCATTAACCATTTTCACCACTCAGGGACTCCAATAGCAAGTTTACAGGGGACCTAGCAGGGGTTCAAGGACCATTCTTTTTTATTCCCGGGGACTCCTTTCCACGCCTGTCTCTGCCAGTCTTTCAAAGTGTCTTTTGAAAGGGCTGTCTCTGGGTGTGCTGGATCTTAAGCAGAATGCAGAGGGGAGGCACACTGCCGCCAAGGCCTGCTGGTAGGCTCTTTGCTAACCGGGGTTAGTGTTCTCAGCCAGTGGCTCCCCAGATAACTGAGGGTTGGCCACACAATTGAGGGGTGGGGAAGTTATGTGGGCTCCCCTACTGTCCACCAGGATGCACAGCCCTGTGTCTTCAGGCCTCCTGGGGTGTGTAGAAGCCACCTGTGGCTCAGGTTAGGGCTCGACCAGGCCTTTCTCTGCTTTCCTTTCAGGACAAAGAAGTGAATCTGGAGCAGGTCCACCGGCGCATGAACAGCCTAATGGACGAGGACATCGCTCACAAGCAGATCTCTCCGGCGTCCATTGAGCTGTCAGCCTTGGAGATGGGGGGCCTGGCTCCCAGCCAGGCCTTGGAGCCGACGCGGGAGTACCAGAACACCCAGCTGTCGGTCAGCACGTTCCTTCCAGAGCAGAGCAGCCACAGCACCAGCCGGACACTCTCGGCAGGGCCTGGCAGCAACCTACCATTGCCGCTGAGCAGCTCGGCCACCATGCCCGCCATGCAGTGCAAACACCGGTCGCCCAACGGGGGGCTGTTCCGCCAGAGCCCCGTGAAGACCCCCATTCCCATGTCCTTCCAGCCTGTGCCAGGAGGTGTCCTTCCAGAGGCCTTGGACACCTCCCACGGCACCTCCATCTGATCACACCGCCTGCCCTCCCGTCCACCTGACCAGCAGAGCTTTTTAATACAGACACAACACCACGGACCACACACACACATGCACACACACACAAAGACTCTAACATTTTTCTTGTACATATGTGTAAATAATGACATAATGGAGTGGGATAAAAGTGTATTTTGAATATTCCCAATTTTCGAAGTCAGTAAAAAAACCCACAAAAACTGTATGAATGACTTTGTAAATTTTGTTCTCTATGAATAAAAAGGCAAACTACTTGTGATCATTCTGAAGTGCCAAAGAGCCCCCAGTTCCTGGGCCTTTCTGAGGGCAGGAAGGGTGATGAGGTCAAGAGCCCCTGCTGCTGGGAAGAGGGAAAGTAAGAGCTAGCCACCCTAGAAGAGCCCTGGAGGTGGCTTGCTGCTGTATCACACAGCGGCGCCACCATGGCCCTTCCCTCGTCCCTTCTTCAGTACCCTTGGGTAGGGAAAGGGTGAGCCCCCAGCTAACATTGGCCTGGCTCACTGGGTCACCCTGCAGTAAGGTGATCAACTTCCCTATTGCCAGAAAATGAGGAAGCTCCCAGGACACTGGGCAGCTCTGGACAAGCTGGTCACCCTACTGTGGGGGTCACAGGGTGCCATGGTCATGGGAGAAGCCACCCACATTGAGACAATGGTCACGAAGGACTCTGATGTGGACTTGCTCTACTGTCTTGTTTTAGCCTTGTTTTGACTGTCTTTACCTAATTAGAGGAATCGACAAGAGAATATGGGAGAAGGACGGCAGGACCCATTCTTGCCTCAGAGGGTCTGGGTAGAGGTGGATTTGGGCCTGGTGAACAGGTCCATGGGGATAGGGAGGTGCAAGGTGTGATCGTGGAAACCAGATGAGCTGGTGGGACCAGGTAGAGGGAAAGTCTCTCCTTAGGTGTGGGACCCACGGTGCCGGGTGAGGGAGGAAAGCGCAGTCACGGACGACAAGGGTAGCAGCACTGTGGTTTCAGATAAAAGGATGGTGTTGGCAGGAGCAGGGAGGGTGCCCAGGTGAGCAGGACTAGTGTTCTAGGTGATGGGGGCACCAGGGAACAGATGAAGGGGACCTTGTTTGTCCAGCTAGGAAGGAACCTTGGCCCTTCCTTAGGAGTGAAGCAACATCCTAATTTGTGTGGTGTGGAGACAAGTAAGTCTCATCCCTCAGGAAAGTTGCTTGTAGCCCAAGCAGTAAAGGGATGTCTCTGAGTCTGAAATGAAGCAGGCAGCCTTCCCAAAACTGCCAGAACCCAGTGAGCCTTCACCTCTGTTTTACTACCTTCTCCAGCTCAGAATCCCTCAAGCAGTGATGCAGCCCACAACTAGGCCCTCCTGGCAGACAGCATCTTCTCTGAGATTCCAGGCCTGTTTCTGAGCTGGAAACCCTGTTTCTTAAGCCTAGGACAATCTAACTGTCCAGCTTCCTCCATTGCCCCTTCTGAGACAGTTAGGCTGTAGAACCAGAAAAAGAACCGTTAGAGGCAGAATCATTCGAGTTATCTGAACTGTATCACTTCAGCTACTCGGCATCTGAAGACAAAGGTGTTTCTGCTCTCCTAATCTGTCGGTGTGGAGGACACAGCCCACACCTGGCTCCCAGAGAGGGTGGGGCCCCTTCCTCAGCCATTATTAGGGAGCTGAGAGTGTGGGTCTGTGGTCGTGGAGAAATAAAAAGTCCTATTGATTGCCTCTTCTATTGCCTTGTAGAGTTCCTGGGGAGATGTATTTATGAGGGTGATAACTAGCCCAGGATTGATTCCTAAAGTCCCCAGTGGCGTGATTGAGCAATAAGGAACGGCTGCATCTAACAGTCTGCTAAAAGCACCCCCGAGACAAGGAGGGTGTTTATAATTACGTAATTTATCTCTGGATGTGGAGAATGGCCTGATGTTAGTGCTACCAAGGGGACCCACTGACACTTCTCCAATCAGAGCCCATGCAGCCCCAAGCAGGGAGTGCGGGGAAGCCTGGGTGGGCCGCGCCATCCTGGGGAGGAGTGGGCTGTGTTGGTCTCCATCAGCAATTTGGGGGCCCTGTCCTGGATGGTCAATTTTTCATATACATCTATTTTTTTAATCAAACTCTGGTCTCACTGCCTTACCTCACACCCAAGTCTGTCTTTTCCTTAGATGACCTGTCTTCTGGGGTAGAGGGTGGATGTCTTCTTGGACATCTTTGTCAGGGAGAGAAGAGAGAGAGTATGTGTGTATGTGGGGTGTGCATGTGTGAGAGGGAGACAGCAAGACAGAGGGTGTGAGAAAGAGTGTTTATGTGTGTGAGTGTTTTGTGTAAGAAAGAGAATGTGAGAGTGTGTGTGCATGTGTGTGAGTATTACGTGTGAGAAAGAATGTGAGTGAGAGAAAAAGTGTGTATGAGATTGTATGGGTGGGAGAATGTGCGTGTGTATGTGTGAGTGTATGAGTGAGAAGGTGTATGTGTGTGTATACGTGTGTGAGAGTGTGTGTACATGAGTGAGATTGTGTGTGTGTGAGACAGACAGACAGACAGACAGACACAGTAAGAGGGCATCCTTCTCTGAGGGAAAAGTATTCTGCTTATAAAATACCTTAACATCTCATGGTGTTCTCCACCATGTTTCTGTTATTTTATTTTTTAATTTCCTACCCTTGTCATGAGGGGAAATGACTGAGATTCAAACAAAGTTCTCTAGGGAAAAAAAAAAAAGAAAAATTAAAAATCTCCCCAACTCCGATTTCTGTGTCCGCTCAGAATGTATCTTTTTTCATGCTTTGCTCTTTGAATTTATAACTGTTTAGACTATTCCATACATTTTAGGTATATTTTGTGCCTTCAGACACTGCAAATAATAATCAGCATTTGGATTAAAGTTGTTTAATAATAAAACTTGATTCTGCTCCCTACCCTCTTATTCTCTGGGGCGAGGAAATGCCACTCCTCATCCGGCCACACTGCAGCCATGATGGAGTGCTGCCCATCGGCATGGGGAGTCACGGGCACTCCCCTGACCCAGTGGGTCTCAGTGCTGCTGGGGGGTGGGGGGCATGCCCTCCTGGTCCAGTGTCTATCCAGAGTCCCTGACACCAACCAGGGGGCATTAAGAGGGACAGGCTGAGTAGCGATTCTAATTTTTGGTCAACTTAACAGTGTCTTCTAAAATGTAAGTTCTTGGAAGACTCAGGAGAGCACTGGGCTGAAACCCATAAAGGAGTGTCTGCATGGTCTGGTGGAAAGAACATTCTAAGTGTCGTTGTCTTTGTTCCTTCCCTCATCTCTATACTAACCCTGACCTCAGATAGCTTGCTTCGCATGTTTATGCATCAGGACCAGGGGCTGTCACTGTTTGAGGACCCGTAGTTTGACTGCCCAATATTTGGCCCTCTCAGGCTCTGCGGATACTGTTCTCCAGTGAACGTTCCACAGGCTCCATCATCCACACCTGCCCAGGACCACTAGCCTCAGCCCTCTACACCCAGAAGCTCCTCAGCCCCACCCTTCACATCACAGTAAGGATTCCTCCTCCAACTTCAGGCTCGTGTTGGGGCAACAGCCCCACTGCTAGCCTTGGGCTGAATAAGGAAGGGTCTTGCATTATCAAGATCTCAAGTTCCAGGGACTGCAAGGAAGGTATCTACCCTTGTCTTTCTGCCCTCATTGCAGTGATGAGTTCCTCCAAAGCTGGGGTCAGCTCATCAGACAGAGGGGACATTCCCAGACCATCTGAACAGACACAATCTCTTGGGTCTGGGCAGAAGTGGCTCCAGGGATCCCAAAGAGCTATGTAAGAAAAGTCTGCCCTCTTAAATTCTAAAGGCCCAGAATCTTGCCAAGGTAAAACTGGTTCGATACATAATTTTGTCTTTTCAAGCACTGAAGAAGACCAAGAATATATAAGGAAGAAAAGCTTGCTGGGCCTGAAAGGGGTATTTTGTTCCTATGGCCTACGCCTTTTCATGTAATAATCACAGAGATAGACAGTGTCCTATGGGCAACTCGGGTCTTTGTGTGGCCTCCTGCCTCTCTCCTGTGCCTCTGCCTTTGTTTTCAGGATGTCACAGTAAACACGCTTGATTAAATCACCTTTGATTCCCATGAATATGTGCTCATGAGCTAACATTTATGTCTTAACAAAAGCCTTGTTTTGAGCTTCCAGCTTTGCCAGCACAACATTAGATAAAAGCTAAAAAAAATTTAACTGAACTTTCTTTGCTGTGAACACAATATGTGAGACTTTCTGTTCCTAATGTAATTATTTTTGTATTGAAAACATTCTTTAATTTTACACCATTAGTTGCTTTAAATAAATGAAATTATGTTTGATTCTTATTATTCTCACACTTCGTACCAGGAAGTTCCAGATAGGTAACATTATCCTGTGCCAATAACTTTAATTTTTGTTTTTTTGTTTGTGTGTGTGTTTTTCCCTCTCAGTGGATTTTAGTCAGAAGAGGTTATTTATGAAAGAAGTGCACATACTCCAAATAAATAAGGTGATCTAGTAGTCACCAACGGAAGGGAGGAAGGGAAAATTACCAATAATCTTTCCCCCAGCCTTTGAACTTAACACTGGGCACCAAGCTCTGGAGAGAGGAGAGATTCTCTCTGCCACAAGAAGCATGCCATCTACAGACCTTTGCCACAGCCAAGACCTGGAGGAGAGGTGCCCCAGTCAGGCAGGTCCCCAGTGGGACTCACAGAGAGCTCAGCTGCTGGCAGATTCAAGCAAAGAGTTGCTAGTGGCAACCAGGTGTCTAAGCCCCAAGGAAATAAAATGCAGTGAGACTTACTAGTATATAAAATAAGAGCACACAGACATATATCCACCCACACACAAACACACACACACACACACACACATACGCAAACACGGAGGTCCTTACAGCACATTGCCTTATTAGGTGCACACATTCGGATTTGAAAGGGCTGCAGCAATGCATGTGTCCTGCTCATCAGACCTGAGGAACAGAATCCAGGGAAAGAAGAGGCTGTCTGTGCCTCCATGCCCAGTACACAGTTTCAAGGCTATAATCAGCCAGAGTGGAAGACACACCTCCTGCAGTGGCCTGTGTCCTGCCCAGTTCCCCAGTGTGCACAGCCAACCTGTCCCGCTCACCCGAGTCCTTGCTCAGAAATCTACCTGATTTTCAGCCAGAATCCTTGACATGTGCAAAGAAGTCCCAAGCATTCTCCAAGTCGTCCTAATTGTTTCAGAATAAGAATATGCATAATCATATCCATATAAGCTGCCATTCATTGTTCAGCTATTATGTTCCAGAGCCTGTACTAT